GGGGTCGACTTCAAGCGCATGTCAAAGCAGTCGGCCATCGGGCCCCTCCGTATCCTCCGCGACGCCCTGAAGTGTGGCACTTGCAAGTGGAAAGTGCTCACTTCGGGGGAGAAAATGCGTCTCCTGGCCCAGTTCAAGGAGATGGTCAAGAACGGCGAGGCACACGAGAAGGTGCGCAAGGTGAAGGGCAAGGCGGCGCCAAAGGCCTCGGGCCGTGCGTCGCGCTCGAAGGCGAAAGCGGTGGCGAGTGAGGGGGTATCTGAGGAGGAAGATGAAGACGACGAAGAGGAGGAGGAGGAGGATGTGGAGTCGCGTCCCTGCAGGGTGAAGGACAAGGCGGAGTCGAGGGTATCCGGCCGTGCGTCGCGCTCGAAGGCGAAGGGGGCGGCAGGCGAGGAGGGATCAGAGGAAGTGGACGAAGAGGAGGAGGAGTCGCGCCCCCGCAAGGCCTTCGCAGGCATGTCGGTGGAGGAGAGGCGCGCGAGGCTTCTCCGCCTTGCGAAGAAGGCACGCAAGGGCCATGTCGACGGCGACCACGGCCCCAAGCCCACGAAGCGCAAGAGGGACGAGCGAGGCGACCGCGATGACAATGAGGCTCCGACTGGCAAGAAGTCGAAGCGCAAGAAGGATGCTGGGGGAGAAAAGGGCGAGGGGACGCGCAAGAAGCGGAAGAGGACGGCTCGCGACGATGGTGATGAGGACGAGGTCGATGGGAGGCGAAAGCAGAAGAAGGTCAAGACCGACAACGCGCCCCGCAAGAAGTCGACGTCGGCGTCAAAGCCAGGGGCACCACACCCCCCCCCAAGGCACCCTCCAAGCCGAGTGCACCGCCCGCGCCCGCGCAATCAAGGCCAAAGCCGAGGCCCAAGCTGAAGACCATTGCGCCCGAGGGTTCCCGCGACACGCTCCCCACGAGCACCACCGATGCCCCCACCACCGACGCGCCCGACACACTGCCCTCCACAAACGTGGACAACCCCACTACCAACGCACTCAACGGACGCGCCGCTGGTGTGCCCAACGTGCCCTCCACGAACGCGCCCAAGGTGGCCTCCACCCCCGATATGCCGCCCGCTGGCACCCTCGACTCCTGTCCCGCCAGCTCCGCAGCAAGCGCTCCTGCCAGCGAGGCCGCCGCCGCCGCCTCCGGGAAGCAAAACATAGTGCTGGGGAAACGGGGGAGGCCCCCGGGTATACGCACCTGTTAATCCCAAATAACAACACCAGTTAGAGAGGGCACAGGTATACGGTAGTCGCGAGAAAGGTTTTCTTGATACATCTATGTCTATAGAGTACTTTGTCGTATTGCAATTTTTTTTGGCCCATTTCCTTTTTAGGACAGGCGCACGATTACCTAATACATGCGTGAAATAATGCTCTAAGTCCCCTACAGCCATATGCTGCGGTGTTGCTGCAGCATATTTGCAGCATATCCGCAGCATAATCTGCAGCATGGGGGAAACACCTGTATTTGCTTCTAATTAGAGGGGGCACACACACCGCTGTGCCCTCTCTAACTGGTGTTGTTATTTGGGATTAACAGGTGTTCAATCCGACCAGGGGGGTGATGCGTGACTCAAATTACCGATTCGACCATTCGACCACGGCCGAAATTTTGCGTGACACATGCAAAATTTTCAACCGCCGAACGAAAATTTTCGATTTTGCATGTCGCAGACGTGATTTTGGGGAATTTCAAGGGCCGCGTGACACAAAATGTGTTCGACCAGAGGGTGGGTGACGCGTGACAAAATCCCAATGTTCGCCATCGACCAAGGGGGGAGTGACGCGTGACGGTCGAATTAAATGAAAAAATACAGTATTCCGGCTCTTACTCCTAGACATATTTTTACCGGTCCAAACACAATCATCGCATCGAATCTCGCGATTTCAACTGCCCATTAATATTCACGAGAGTTTCGCGGGCATTCCTGACTTTGTGCCGATGATTGCCGATATGTGTCCGTGTGTACGCCGCGGTGCACGTGGCAACTTAGGTTTGTTTCCTGCCCTCATGTCGCTCCTCAAGATTCCGTTGCTGCTCTCTGTGGCTCTGGGAATCCACGTTACAATGACACCCCCAAATCCTCCGCCCACGGCCACGGAAAAACTGCCACCAACGGGCCTCGAGCGCGTCGCGCCGCGATTCCCAATCCTCTTGAAGGTCGGTCGGTTGGGACATTTAGCTGTTCATGTACCACTTCCAGCTGGCACGGTATTCAAATTCGTTAACACACACTTAATATAGGCTGGATTCTGGGTCTTCTGCCTCGCCGAAATCGCGGTTATTGCGGCCCAGCGCGTCGCGCCCACTTCTGCGTATTTTCCCGCAGCAACGCGGCTCCTCGGGACGTTAGACCCCTCAAGACGTGAGGGGCACCTCAAAATTACCTCAATCTTCTTGATAGGCTGGGTGCTCAACCTGGTTGGCGGATCTATCCGGCTCTACTGCTACCGCCGCCTCCGCACCCTCTTCACCTTCGAGCTGAGCATCCGCCGAGATCATCACCTCATCGCAACCGGCGTCTACTCCGTCGTCCGCCACCCGAGCTACACCGGCGCCTTTCTTGCCGCTATTGGCGTCGCGCTCTGCCACCTCACCCCCGGGGCGTGGTTGACCGAGTGCTCGGGGCTTCCGCCAGGCGCGGTCGTGCCGATATGGGTCGTCGGGCTGTCCATCGCGTGTGCAGGGCTGGATGCGCGCATGCGCAAGGAGGATCGGATGCTGAGAGATAGATTTGGGACGGAGTGGGACGCGTGGGCTGCGCGTGTTAGGTATAAGCTATTTCCCGGCGTGTACTGATTAATAGATAGGTACGTGTTTCGTTTGTCGTGTCGGATGCTGAACAAGATTAATTTAACCCATAATGTTAGACCTCCGAATACAGTCGTGGCTGGCAACTATTGATCGCCGCGTCTTCGAGCTGCGTATGCGCTGTCTGCCCGCTTGACATCTTCCCTCGCATGCAACCCGTCATGGATTGCCCTTTCTGCACTGAATTTCCTTCGTTGGTTCTCAAGCATTGCGCGTCCAGGAGCGAGTCCGCAAGGCAAGAAGTAGTCCAACAACAGGCGCTATCCTGCGGGACTAACCGCATTTATGGGACATCGATTAATGATTTGTGTGCCTTCGAGGATCACTGGCGATCATCCCGTCTCAGTAGTATGAGCGCGTTATAGCAGCTCAGGAAGGAGGGGGTTCGACTTCCCCCGAAGCCATGTTCCATCTCGCCAGTGCTTTTCTACGGCCTGGCATCGATTCAGTATGATGCGCTCTTCATTGGTTCTTCGCTCGTTTTAGGTCGCTTCTTCCCACTTGCGCACATTATTTATGGTCTCTTAAGATTTCAATCGCTCCTTGGCGCCTCCACTGGCACTGGCAGATGTAGCTTCCCTGCGCGGATCCAGGCGGCGCTGCGTCGATACGGCATCGGGGCGGCGCCACCTGCGCTCAAGTTGTTGTACTTTCAGCATGTGGAACGCCCCTTATCCTTCGAATCCTTCGGTCTCAGAAAGTTAGGGATGTCCTGCGGCGCTCCTGTGAATGCTGCACCAGGTCACTCCAAGATCTGCGTCGAGATCTGAGAAGGGCGTGGTGTTCTGCCCTTGGTCACATTTTTGTTCGTCATCTGGTCTCTTGGGAAGGACTTCTTGGTCTGCCTCCGGAGTCGACGGCATACACCAGGGCGGGCGCATTCTCTGATGCCAGCGAACAGACAAAATGCAACATGCTCTCAGAATGGCCCGCCCCCGAATCGAACGAGGTTCTTTCACTGCTTCACTACACTGTTGATTCAGCGTGGACGCATGCCGTACGCTTCCGAGCCCTGTCCTAAAATTTATGGACTGGGTTGGGTAAGAAGAACTTGAAGAATGGATTGAGAGGTGCATGACAGCGCCGTCATCAGCCAACAAGCGGGAGCCCTCTCCTAGTCCCTGTGGAGCACAAAGCAACGTCCCGATTCAACCAACCTCACTGGGCTTTCTTCGTTTCAGCCGCGCTCCGGTCTCGACAAGTTACGACATCACCTTGAAGTTCCCGAAGCGGGAACCTTGACCGCATTTGGACGCCTTTTTCTCAACGATTGCTTCCTTATTCTCCACAAACGAGCGTCCCAACCAGGATAAATGCTTGTTCTGCCCGCTATTAAATACACTCACGATCTGGCTTCTATCTATTATCCTCGCTCGCCTACCTCGATCCCAACTCTCTACGCTCCCCCGAGTCTATTGTCCCTCATCATGCAGTGCACTTTCCTCATCACCTTTGTCCTCTCGTGGCGTAAGCGCTCTCCTTCCCAGCATTGAAAATAGGTACTAACTGATTCGACAGTAACTGTCGCGACCTCTGCCGCGCCCGCCCCTACCACGGGTACCAGCAAGGAGCTGTCTATCTTCAACCGCATCCCCGTACGCTTTTTTCATCCGATACACCGCATCCAGTCCTGACTTGTCTGCTGCTTGCTGCAGAAGCTCGCTCGTTCACCAGAGCCAGAGCCTGGCTGCAAGATGTATTCGTGCATCTGATGGATGGGGTCCCCATAATTCAACTCATTTCGTGCCCGTGCCCCGACATCCCATCCTCGCGCCGCTGCCCGCTCACCAGGTTTCACGAGTGCTTCCTACATCTAATCTCGCACCGAAACCCCGCCCTCGAGCCCTTTCTAGTGTAGTCCCTGTATCCCTACGGGAGCCCACCACATCCGTAGTTTTAGAAATCTTATTATAGATCTTTGCCTGACCGACACCCTCATTTTCGCGCGTCCAGCTATGGGGGAAACGCTCTTGCCTCGCTCGGGCTGGAGTCGAGAGTTCAAAGTTGCTTTCTTGAATTCGGAATGAAGTCTTTCAATAACGGACGGCTGCATCCATGAAGAAATTCGGCTCAGCCTTTGAAACTGTTACCCTGCGGACGAGCTATCCAGGGTTCTAGCTCCGTCGGAAAGGCCTGATCGCATACGGAATGCGCCACCTCACCTAGCTTGAAACAGGCGAAATGTGCCTTTGCGGATTGGTGGCAATCGTCCCGTTACAATATTGCGACCGGTTTGTTCATCGTAACGGAAAGGAGGGGGTTCGAATCCCCCCGAAGGTGTGTTCCAACGGGACTCTCGTTTGTTTTTTTCTCGGCCCGGCAATTTTTTGGTGAACCTTATCCGGATCCCCTCCTCAACTTATTTGGGCTGAACCCCGATATGCGTGCCGCCTTCCGCATTTCTTAGGCTCTCACCAGCGGCAGGTGCCCAGCAGGAAAACGAAGAACAGTACACATGTCTGTGGTGCAGAATAAAGGATCTCGTAACCTGATCCTGAACGAAAATTGCGAGAGTCCCAACTTGTTAAGTCGCCACCATAACTCAGGTATGTAGAACATCAACTAAATCTTCTTGTGGATTCGGAGCGAAGGATACATGTGCGCATGGGCCCACATAGAGACACCACCGTACCACTCGTACCGAGCGTCGACGGCGCGTACCTCGACGTATGAATAACAGTGAGGTATAAACGTCTAGAAGACACGCGCCCCAATAACACTAGAGAAATAATCATCAATAATAAAAAAAGTGTCCCACACCCTTCCCCATCGACGGCGGTCAGCATGAACCCTCTTCCCCATCGACATCATCGACGCGCGATCCCGCACCCCCAAGCGTGATGCGCCCGAACCGCTGCGCATCTTCGTCATCGCTTTCGTATTCGTGCGCGAGCGCCGCGCTTCGCAGCTTCTCGAGCCGGCGGTGGTGGCTTTCGCGGCCGCCGCCACTGGTGCGCTCGCCCCCGTTGCGCGCCCGGAGTGCCTCGATGACGCGGTCCCACCCGGGATACTTCCCACAGCGCAGCTGCCCCCACACCCATCGGGCGCTGCTGCTGCCGGATGGAAGCCACAGGTCGTCGCACACACGTACCCACTTGACCGCGTTGGAATCTACATCATGATCATATGCGTCGTCAGCCGGGTGGCATGGGCGAAAGGAAGGAAGGAACGTACGGGGCACCATGCACTCGACGAGAGAAGGGCAGACAGTGCCCCAGGCCGTTACGGTGTCGAACGCACGGTCCATTTGTGGCTCGGGCTCGTCCTCGGGCTTCCAGACGTTGACGCAGGTGATGGTGAGGCGCTGCAGGGAGGAGAAGCGCGTGAGGTAGTCTCCGATGGTCTGCAGGTTCGCCAAGTCCTGCGATGGAGATGAATATGCTATGGAATAATGAAAAAGGGAGTGCGAATGCACGTACATGAATCAGGAGTAAATCCGTGAAGAACAGATTCGTCATGCTCAGTGCGTAGATATGCGGCAGGTGCGTCGAAATGCGGTTCAGCAGGTCCAGGTTCCAGCCGTGCCGCCGGCAGCTGAGGACGTTGAGGGTCTCCGTGCTCGAACGCCCCAGCGCGGCGATGGAGTCCTCCAGCGGCGGCTCGCCGACGGGGTCCCAAGTGATGAACGCCGCGCGCAGCGATGCGCGGCGGATGACGGGCGCCACGCACGAGCTGTTCCCAATGAAGTACTCGAGCTTAGGGAGCGTGACGATTGAGTGTTGCGGGTGGGGCACCACCTCGTGTGCGCCGAGCTGGAGGTAGGTGATCTGCAGGTGGCGGTTGAGGAATGTGACCATCGTGTCCTCGAGGGGAAGGCAACATTCGAAGTGATTCAGGTGGGGAAGATAGCAGCGCTTGAGGACCGCGATGTAGCTGGGGTCAGGTACGAGAAGTACGAGGTGGTGGACGTTGGTCATTCGCTGTAGCGCGCTTCCAATCAGGGCATAGAACGCGGAGAAGGGTGGTGACCGCGATGGACTGCGGAAGGCTGTTAGTCGCGCCGCGATAGATCGCCGCAGTGAGTTCTGCTCACGTATACGATATCTCGAAGCTCTTAACCACCGAGGCGACGTTAACGTTGTTCGCCACAGTGCGGCAGCACTTTACGACGGCCGCAGGCGATTTGAGCCCGATGTCGGAATATATGGAGCGCACACACAGGGAGTAGAAGAGTTTCGAGACACGACATAGGGATAGGTCTGATTCCGGGGGTGTAAAGGCCACAATCTCCTCCAATGTTTCCGCTGCGAGGCGCATGATCGAACTCGCCGATGTGGCAGATACAGTCGCTGGAGCCATATGGCCCGGGGCCACGGGAAAGTTTCCAGGATTATAGCCAGGAGCGAGGAGGGTATTCGTCGGTGGTGGTAGGGCAGGGAGAGACTCCAAAACGCCGAGAAACATCCACCTTATGACGCCGCCGCACGACAAACACGAGGCGCTGGCTGTGCTCCGGGTGAGCGCAATCCACCGAAAACGGAGAGAAGCGCAGGACAGGCAGCTGAGAACGCCGCAGGCAGCAGTCCGTGAGGGTTCTGGCGAGAGCTTGGGTAGGCTTTTGCGCAAAAAATAGCTTTCGTTATCCGGTCACGGCTAGTCACACCACCGCGAAGCTAACCCCATCCTTGTACTTCTGTTCCCATGGTGCCCCCTTGCCCCGGAGAAGCGATGTGGGTCCACTGTTGCGCAGGCACGGCCCCGGCTTGCAAACTGGCCGACTGGTGCGAGGCGCAAGCGAGGAGGATGTCCGGAACAAAATGATGCTTCATTTCCAATACCTCGTGTCACGCTATTGCTCCCGCGCACAGCACTTCTGCAGAGGTGAATGAGTCGGGGTTTTTGGTTGAGCGTAAAATATCAGCGTAACAAATTTTCGCTAGGTGCCTGTACCGACATCGTCATGTCAGAATACAACACTTCCGCTTCGAGGTCTAACGAGACGTTGTGGGTCCATAATCAAATCCATTGTTTTAGAGAAGAAGGGACGCGATTGATCTGGAAGGTTCCAATCCGACCCTGAAATATCCAAAGACTTATTTATCCATACTGAGGGAGCACCCCCGGAGAGCCAGCTCCCCCTCTCGACCCAAACGGCCAAAATAATACGGTGTATCCTTATCTGGCGGCGGACACCCACTGGAGCCCCCAACGGGCGGGCTCTGAGAATTAGGACTAGGATCAATTACATCAGAGAAGAACGGTGATCATCGACATATAAGCAGTCCAGCTTTCCCTTTGAAGGCCAGGTCCGGTGTCGAACACAAAATTTGAGATTTGGACCTCATCGACGCTCGAGGGTCGAAATGCCAGGTACTGTCCGGACAAAATTCGGGCGGGTGAAGTGTTTTTTTGGAGAGGAATGGGTAATTTGTTTTCGCTGCAAATGGGCCGCAGAAAATTTGACCGTTTTTAGAGCCGGAAATTACCTTTTTTGGGACGATTAGTCAGCAAAGGCTAGGGCCTACCCTGTCCGGACAAAAACCGCCCAAAGGCGGCCAAAATGTGTCCGGAAAAAAATTGGGAGATTTGGGATGTTCGGGACCTAGCCTTCAAAGGGAAAATCAGGGGTCCTCATACATCGAGAACAATGGCGATGTTGCTGTTGATCGTTGGGAAGGCTGCCAACGCGGCTGCTATTAACTCCGCCGGGAGAGCTTCTTGCTAGCCGCGAGAAGTCCGAACTTCGCGGATACTGCGCGACCCAATACGAGACGCGCTACGGACGCGTCAGAATCAGAATAAATAATGCAACCCATATCACAGAAACCACTCACGTCCGGCAAGCTACGACGGGATCTTGCCTTTACCACAGATGCCGCGTAGAAGCCCTTCACTTCTATCCTCATACTTCGCCGTCGCGTCTCGAGTCGCACCTCTGGAGTCGAAGGCTTGGATTGCCTGCTTCTAGGTTAGTTAGTACTCAGTCCCCCGTAATGGCCTGTAATGTCCTGGGTGGATAGAAGTGCTTAAAGCTCAAGAGGAGTCAGCTCGCTTCGGAACCGCGACTGCATGTCGATACCGCCACTATGGACCGAGATCGGCGACGGAGCGGAAAATCACCGCCCGCAGGCTCGGAATTCTGTGAGCGGTCTGGGGACTGAGAAGGTGAGGATAAGCAGGCCCGCGGCCTGTGTTTCGACTGGAAGCTTAGGAGGGCAGAGATCCGGAATCGGAAAGGAATCGGACCCATCCCAATCCATTCTTCCTGGAAACCGGGGTTCCTACGCGGGACCGTTGCCCGTAATTATAAATACCTACCTACCTACCATAAATACGAGCCGCCCAAGCGTACTATCAAGCGCTGGGATCCTGGGCACCTTAGGCATTTTAGGCTATTAGCGTCCTCATATAAGGGATTTAGGAGCACCCGAGGGCTTCAGAAGGAAGGCCTACATCCTGTGAACAAGTGAAGCACATTTGCGCCAATTTTGGTGGTGTTTTGACTGTGTGGCGAATTTCTTTCGGTCGGAACTCCCGATAAGGCAATATACAGGGTAGCTGGGCACCCCCACAGATTCGTTGTCGCAGGCTCAGTAGGGGGCCTCCCAGTGCGTAAACATGTTCAAGGGACTCAAATGGCTTAATATGAACCTTGAAATGACACAGTGGAACCATACAAGTCATAGTACAAGGTGCTGAGTTACGAGTATGAGAGGTATGAGTTGCAGAACCCATCCTGCCAAATAAACGAGGGCCGTGCACCAGTGAGAGGATGGGGATGGCCCAAATAAGTTGCAGGCAGCACTTAGAAACATATTTGAACCTTCTTCTCTATCCCCAAAGAATACTGCTGAGAACCCGACATTTGTACATTGTGTGCACTGAAATTAGGGTGATTTAACTATCGGACGACATGGAGAGACAGAAAAGACATATAGAATTACAATGCACCTCTTCAACTGAGCCTCTAGCTCGACCCTCAGTGCACCCGACTCGACCTTGTATTTCCGCCTGTTTCCGCGCGATTCGGGGCTGATCACCATTTCGGGAGGGGTGCCGGTTTGTGACTACCACGTGGCGATACAGCTTCTTCTGCGCTCTCATGTCGTCTAGCTACTCACTGCTCGGTCAGTGAATTTCATTCCTTCTTTGATCACTCAATGATGCTCTCCTCAGTGCAAAGTGTCACCGGGATCTCATGGAAGCCAGGCCCGGCCCATGGCAAGAAACCCAATCTCTACGTGGCAATTTACCAGGATGGTGTCGAGATTAAGCGCACTCATACCATCAAGCGGGAAATTGCACCGAAATGGGATTACTTGGCAAATATGTAAGCCCCC